AATATAAAAATCTTTATTTAATCTAAACTAAATTAAAACTGATCTTGCATTTTTCTAGAATCTATTTCTAACTTAAGCTAAAATATCACTTTTAGTAACATAAAAGATGAAAAAGAACTTGGTTATTATAGTATTAAAAATTCATCCAATAAGATTTATAATGAATTATCTTATCATAAAGTCATTAATTGAGAATTAAAAGAGGAATATATCAAAGTATATTTGGATAATATTGTATTATTTATTTTTAATTTTAAGTTGATATTGTGAGATTTTTTAAAAACAATTTGTTGAGAATATCTGTCAATCCAAATGTATTATGTTTGCTCAAAAATAAAATACATGAATATGAATAACATTATAAGTACAAGTTCATTTGAACCTATAGCTTTCTTAATAAAATTATATAATATTTAAGAAATAATTTCTTTAATTAAGGCTAAAAAAATGAAATAATTATAAAAAGATAATTATTATATCAGCAAATTATAAAGGTTTGAAATAAAATCATAATCTTTCATTAAATCATAAAGGAATTATTGAAAATCAGTAATAATAGATTGCATTTTAATCTAAAAAATCAAACATTTCCAAATGTGATTAAAGAATTTATCTGTATATTTATATTAGACATAAAGTCAAGATGAATAAAAGAGATTAGAGTAATGTATTTTTAAAATTTCTATAGTGACAAGTATTTCTAGCAATCTTTGAATTTTCTTTTTTCTAATAATCGAAGCTTTATATGAAGTATGAGTATAAAAAATATTATTATTAATATAAAAGATAATAGCAAACTAATTAATAGAAAATACTCATATTTTCAATTAAGTATATTTATTTAAATTTGTCAAATATTATAAAATGCAGTATATTTTTAATAAACAAATAAATAGGAATCAAGATCATTACTTTATATTGATAATAAAATTGATTAAAATACTGTAGGTCAAGTATAAAAGTTGTAAAATTATAACAATTTTTTACTAACTAGTTGACTTTATTATTAAATAAATTTCCTAAATACACTTTAACCTTATAGAGATGAATATCAAGATTTTGGGATTTAATGATTTTAAAAAAGCAAAACTAAAAAGGAAATTATTAATCTTTAAATAAGAGCAAATTGATAGTGAAGTAATCAAAAACTTTTAAATTTGTAGAATTGCTGAATGATCACTTGCAAATCAGTTTTGATAATTATTTAACAATTGATAGGAGTAATAATTATTGCTATGAAAATGGCTGCTAATTTCGTAACTAAAGAAAAAGAAAAAAAAGTGACAAGAGCAATCAAAAAGAAACTATTAGTAAATTTAAGTATGTTTATAATTAAACTAGACTTATTTTAATTGAGAAAGAACTAAAACTAGAAAGTGAATTATTTTTAAAGAATTCTAAAATGGATACAATTAAGAACTGTTGAGAGTATGTTAATAATTTATTCAAATATGTAAAGAGAATAAATTGTAAAATCAGAAAAGAAAGTATAAGATAATAAAATTAACAAAAGGTAATATAAAAGATAAGAAATTAATATTTAAATAAGAATAAAAAGTTTTTTTTAAGAGAGATAAGAACTATAAGTAGGTTAACTTCTTTTTATTATTATAGATAATAATCTTTATATAGTAGCTAATAGGTACTGCTAGTATACACTTATTATTAAATAATTTATTAAATTGTATCTAAATATTAAAGGAGTATTAAGAATACAGCCAACACATTATTGTAGAATTACTTCTTTGATTATATTAATTAAGTAAAACAAATGTTTAATTAATATAAAACTTTTTTTAATTTTTATAATTTAACTGAATACCATATTATTAAGACCTAGATCATAATATGAAATGATAGTTGATTTTTAAGTATTAATAAAAGATGATGTTAGAGAATTACTATATCTTAAGTTATAAAAAAATGATTTATTTGATAGTAATTATTGTTATATGTTAATATTGTAAGCCTACTAAACTAAATTATATCATATAAAATTCTTTCTCTTTGAAAGACTAAAGAAAAGTATCTAAGATCTGTAAAAGTGAACATATAGTTGCCTTTATAATTAACTAATTGTTCAATAAATATCAAGAAATATTTAATGAGAGAAGAAGTATTTTTCTATAATTACTTAAGATAATAGAGCATATAATATTAATACCATCTTATATTTTATAATAATAATGATCTAGTATAAAAATACTGATATTGTATCTTTTAAAGTCATACAAAAGTATGGGAATTCAATCTTTAAAAATTTTTGAGTTTTAGTAAGATTAGCAATTAAAAAAAACTTTGATAGCTATTAATTATATAGGTGCTTTATAGTAAAAAGGAAAAAAAATTACTAAAAAAATTTTTTTTTGAGTTAATGTTAAATCTGAATTTATCTTATTAAAAAAATAATATTTAGCTTATAAAGTAAAAAAAAATTTTAGCAAAATGCCTATATTATAATAAAGATAAATATATATCATTAATCCTAAAAGTTCAGTATTATTTAATGAAACCAATAGAGTGATTGCATATGCTTGTGATAAAAATAAGCTATTTTATAAAAATCTTTAATTAAAGAATACATGATGGTATATCTTTTAATAGGTATAGTTTTCTTTTTAATAAAGCTTTAAAAAGGTCTATAATATAATCAAAAATAGCTTTAAATAGATGAGAAAAATTGCATACAATATTATACACAAAGTATGGTGATCACATTAAATATATAGATTATTTGTTATCAATCAGTTTTTTATAAGATATAATAGAGATAATGAATTTGATATTTTGGATGGCTTATTTAATAATAAATATATGATTATTTTTAAGTGAAATTCAAATGCTAAGATATTTTATTGAGAAATTTGAATTTACAGATATAATTAATTGATTAGATCCATTAATATCCAGTTGAACAAAATATTAAATTATTTCAATTGAATATCTAAAAATAAAAAATATTAGCTTATAAAGTTATATTTTTAAAATATAATAAAATTTAAAATATATAATTTTTATTAGTATTATATTAAAATTATATAATTTTAACTATTATATATATTTTTAATCTAATAATAATTGATAATTTTTTTTAAAAATTTTTTTAATAAAAATTATTTAAAAATTCATGTAAAATAATCACAATAAATATAATATTATCAAGTTATAAAAAAAAGAAAATAATATAATAATATTAATAATATTAATCTTAACAACATTAGATAATGTATATAGCATAAAAGATGAAATTAAAAGTTTTAGATTTAATAAAATAAATAAATTACATGAATTATATAATGTGATTTTAACCAATTAAAAATTACTTTTATAATGCTTTATAATTATCATATAATATAATTGATAATCTTAATTGATACATATAATTTAAACATGATAATTTATTATATTTTACATTATACATATAATAAAAGTAGATATTTATTTATTATAAGATGATAAATCAAAATGTTAATTTATTTATATGTAGGTTTCTTTTGCAAAATAGTAGTTTTTCTTTTTTTTTACTTTAGATCTTTAAAAAAAAGTGAATGAAAAATAAAATTAAGGCATTAAGACATTAATATACAGTTTTTATATATTAAAATATATTTATCTAATAAATTATATAATTTACTTAATTATAATACATTTTAAAATTATACTAATTTTCTTCCTATTATTATTTCATATTCTTCTCCTTGATTTTCAGATTTTCATTATTAAATATTTTTAATTTAATAATCTGTTATTAAAGTTTTCAATCCTTTTATATAGTTACCTTTTTTAGAATGCTAATAATAATTTTTCGTTTATCAAATCATTGATTGTGGCTTAAATATTTTTTTAAAAAAGTTTTTATATAAAAGAATTTATTAAATAATGGTCAAAAAAATTTTTTTTCGAAAAATAACTTTAATAGTAATATTTTTAATAGTAAAATAGCCGAGTTTAATATGGTACAACAGAAAATGATCATAGTCAATATTTTATTTTTATATACCAAACATAGTTGTCACAATAACTAGCAGCAATTTCATAGATTCCATATGATAATTCACTATGGCATAGTTTTGTTTAATGTAGAGGGTTTTGAACCACTTTGATTTTAATAATAGATTAGCTTTTTCTTGAAGTCTCTATATTTTCAACATTTCTTGTTTCCTTGTGAATGAAACAAATAAAGTAACAACAATGACAATAAACTCTGTTTCGGCACCTTTCCTTAATATATATATATATATTACGTATATAGTTGTACATGTACAGTGTTTCATATAATCGTGTAAAGTAGGAAAATTTCTATATATAACGATCTATTTTTTAACAAATGCTCATGATTTCGAAAATAGTATTTTTTTTGTTGTGTAATTCAAACCTCAAGATTTTATTTTATCAGTAGATCGAGATTAATGATGTAGATTTATTATGATTTTAGAACGAAGTTGCCTTTTATATACCGAGTATGGGTATTATTTTTAATTTCTCATTTTTAAAAAGGTTCTGCCTAATTTGATTATGAGGGGATGTCATAATTTGATTAATTAATTTAAAACCCTTAAAAATAGTCCGTCATTTATTAACCAATCATCAAACATTATAATTAATTCACTGCGCCACCTTATTGACCTTTTGAGAAAGTCGACATTCAAGAATCAAAAAAGCTGTAAATCAAGTTCAAGTTCAAATTCCTATTCTGTTTTGAAAATAAATAGTAATTAACACAAGCTTTTTCAAAGCAATGATTTTAAAACAAAAAAAAAATCATCTCATTCCACTGAAAGAGGATGTTTATCATGTAAAATGTAACTTTGGAATTTAATGAAATATTACCACTTAGTCATGATTCTATAAAACGGATCTTTTAACTTTTTCAACTTACAGACATTCATGAAGTGCAAAAGAATAATTATTGTTTCATTATAATATTATGCATAAATGGAATCATGTTTTTATAATGCAAACATGTGATTCGGTAAATGAAACTTATGCAATATTATTTATTATTTACCCGATAAAGGATTCTTAAAATGTTTCACCAATTCTTTTGGCATTTGATCCTTGGAAATAGCGATCTAGGAATGTTATTGGCCAAACCTTGGGTAAACATAAGTATCTCTCCCATGATTTCTAATTTCATATACTGTAAATCAGTTTTCCAACTATACTTGTGAGCATCTTAATCCTATGCCTATTTCCACTGTTCCATTTACCGAATCCTGATCATTCTCCATTGTACCAATCATCAGACATGTTAAAAATTATTAAAATTTCAACGGAACCAAATTCATGTCGTACAACCATTATTGCTCGAATACTGCGCAACATTCGTTACAACAAACCGAACCTCATGACAAATAAACAATCGATTTTTTATGGAACGCTCGATAATTTGCATTTAGCGTATAATATGTCGCATGGCCATATCTTTAACCTTTTCAAAATAAAAAATAAAAATAATCATGCAAAACAAAAAGATAAAACACTTTGTTCATTAGGATTAACGAAGTGCGCATATTTGTTTGGATAAATTAACTAAAAGTGGTTAAATCAGTAATTAAGCAGTTTATTTTTTCACGCATTTGAAACGAATTAATTGAACCAATCAAGTAAAATCACGTTTATCTGCTAACATATGAAAGGTGATAAAATTAGTATATAAAATCTGCCCAGCTTTGGCTGATTCTTAAATCCCTAATTTGTCATTTAGAAAAACTTAACCCCCCAATTAAAAATGAGAGGATGTTACACTAAATGCGGTCGTAACCTTTTTTAAAAATGTCAAACAGTCTGCTTTTTTTTTTTATACTCCTCCTTTTTCTCACTACTAAACAAAAAGTTAAATCGATCGTCAAAAAGCTTTCAACCTACTAATTATCAAACATGGGACTGCTAAACTTGGAGGAACAACTTACATTTTATGGAAAATACCATAATAATGATATCAACAAGATGATCCATATTGGTATTTCAATACCTTTTTACTTTGTTATTGATTTTTGTTGTAAAAAAAGAGAAGACTTTGAAGTTTTGAAATCGGATATTCATTAACTTTAAAAGGATGATTTGTTCTTTTTTGTCTAGTGTGTGTCCCTCTCATCGTGTGGAGCTTTTTGGTTTGGGCCGCAAATACAGGACCATTACTTCCTTATGAAGAAGATTCTTTATGGAGACTAACACCGTTTGAACCAAACCTTGCGTTGCTTGTGGTCTTGATTTATATATTTTATTATCTATTATTGGAACCTGTAGCCGGGGTGGGTAAATAATTTAATGTTATAATTGATCAATTTTAAAGGGAAAATTCAAAATTTTTTCTTTGTGATTTAATAATGAATCAAAAAAAAAAAAATTTGATGCTTCAGGCACTTTACACACCATTACTATTATTTATGGCATATAATGCCACGAACTTTGCCTCGTCATTCCCTGACAATCACAATTCCCTTGCCGGAATTGTTCACGTTACCTCATGGATTTTGCAGTTTATTGGTCATGGATTCGCCGAGAAGAGAAGCCCGGCTTTGAAAGAAAATATAGCTCAAGGTATGCGACTCACGATCCCAAATGTAATAATACAATGATTCGTCTTTCACAATTAACTAATCCTTTTCCCCGGATTGCGTGTAGCTCTTCTTCTCGCGCCATTATTTATTTGGTTGGAAGTATTATTCACCATGAGATATCGTACTGAGCTTCAAAAGAGGATAAAAGAGAGGGTTGAATTAGCCATCGCGAAAGAAAATAAAGAATGATTTAACACCGTCTAATCTCTCTCCCCCACTCTTTTTTTTTCCTTATCTGGCACGCTTTTCCTTACCTGACATATATTTTTTTTACTCGTTCACATTTCATTGTTATTACTACTTAATCTCATATTCGAATTTTTCTTTTCCAATATCATGATTAATGTATAAGAATTATCAAAAGAAATTTATATATACATGATGGATATATATATATAATATATTACCATGTGACTTTATTTTTTTTGTTTCTTACTTTAAACCGACATGGGAATAAAAAAAAAAAAAAAAAAAAAAAAAAAAAAAAAACCAAGGTAAAGTTATTTTATAAAATATTCAATTGAGATCATTAAGGAGATTTAATCATTCGATCTTATTTTGACATTTCATGAAGATACACAAGTGGCATCATGTTATTAAAATAATTTCCCAACTCCAAAAAAAAAAACAATAAATGATTGCATTTTAAATATCGAAAGTTTTCGAGATTAATTTTGTCGGACAAATTTAAGGTTTGAAATGATTTGTGTTACCAAGATCTAACTGGCCAATCGTGTAATAATTTTAGAGGATGTTTGGAATTTAAATAGAAACAAGATCTTTAATCTTATCATCAATGATATGAAATTTTTTATTTGTAAATAGCTATTTAATTTATTTAATTTGTAGATTAATCAACTTCAATAAATCTCAGGGGCGAATCGGAAATGTTATAACCAAAAAAAGAAAGAAGAAAAAAAGAAAAAAAAAAGTAAAGTATACTACGAAACTCTGATCTATTTTTAAATGTAATATTGAAATGTTAAAATTAAAACAAACATTATTGAAGGAAAGCAAATTCAAAATTAATAAAAATAATGTGATGTGAATACATGATATTTATTTACATGCATCGATTTAATATTGATTGTAATAATAAATTAAAAGCTTTTATAAATAGTTACCTTGTGTAAACATACAAAAGATATACCAGAATGTACATAAATATACATATATGTACGTGTATATCGTGTATATATCGTTAACTATAAAAAATCGACAATGATGGCTAATTTGTAAAATTAAATTCCGTAATAATAGATATGAAACACGGCATATATATATATATATATATTTTTTTTGTTTATCCAAACGGAATCCACATCATTTTTTTTTTTATTCACACAGATCTAAACAATTCTCTTTATGAAAACCCAGGAGGAAAAAAAAAAAAAGAGAACCTGATGTTCATAATCATATAAGTTTTTTAATGAACCCAGCCAGAATGGTGATTTAATACTTTTTAATTAATAAACAATTGCGGATCGTTTGATTGTCAAGTTTATTTTTAGAGATCTAAAAACAAATTTCAACAGGCAATGGTTATAGTTATTTATAAAAAGAATCGACGCCACAAAAGCCCCAGGTAATTTTCCCAAGGGAAAGGTTCCTAATCTACGATCTTGTAGTATGCAAGATTCACCTATGAAAAGGATAGGAGATAATCATTTTTTTTTTCTTTTATGAATTACAAGTTTCAAGGGTGGGAAACGAGCTTGGGTCGTTCAGAAAAAAAACAAAAAAAAAAAAAATGAATTAACTCTGTTTTGACGATAAAGATAAAATAAATGCAGGAGAAAAAAGATCTATTAATGGATTATTATTTGCGGGGTGATAATTTAAGTAATATATATATATATTATATATATTACATATACTTTTTTTTTTTAATAATTCATAGCTTAATATAGCACATGGTGATACGAGCTTTTCTTGTCACCGCTCTAGTTTGATTTTCACTACGCCACTATTTAATTGTTTACGTCAAATGATACACGATTATTTATTAAAGTTATTTAAATTTTAAAGTAAACCTATATTTAAATGCATTTATTTAGGAAATTCCTCATATGGTGTTGGGTCGAAGTAGTATGCTATTTTTGAAACATTCAACATATAAATAAATATAAATATATATAATATATATTATTATATAGTACTCTTAATAAATCGGGTAAAGGTATAAAATATATCCATGTCCAACTAAAATAATTTCGTCTTTGAACAAAAAAATAAAAAATAAAAAATAAAAATAAAAAATATATCCGCGAAAAAAAATAAAAAACTTTTTTCCTACCCGATGCTTTTGAAAAATCATACAATTTAATTTCTTTTAATAAAGTAAAAAAATAAAATAAAATAATTTTCTTCCCTCTCTTTTCTTCATGAAGATTATTATTAATTAGAATAAAAAAAAAAAACGCTTTTTTAGTACATACACCTATATATAATATCATTTCACTTTTTTTTTTTAAAAAAAAATAATCATGAATTCAACAGCCTCATCACAGACGAACCAGTCAACAGCCGATCTCACACAACAAACCTTTGAGAACGAAGGGTTCTCGACTACAGCGGAAAAAGGAGGTGGTTTTTTAGACAATACTTTTAAAATGACTGGATATCGTAAAAGACGTTTATCAAAATTACCGGCTCCAGTTATAATTCCTCCCCCTTCTCCTATTATAACTGCCCCTTCACCCGTCAGTCCCACTAAGAGTGATTCCTTCATAGACTTACCTTCTCCAAAAACTCCTCAGAGCCCAACAAAAAGATTTGTTCTTAAACCTATAACCGCGTTAACCGCTGCTTTTCAACGAACCACATTAACAGGTCGTCGATCGAATTCGTCAACTTCATTTTTGAAATTCCCAAAATCTCAATCCAACAACAATCCAAAATCACCTAAACCTGCTTCCTCTCCTCAATCGCCAAAACCACCAAAATCTCCAAAATTATTGCATCGAAAGGGAAGTAGTGGATCGATCCGTAAACGTTCGGAAAGTCCTACAAGTCCCGCCGTTGCTACCGCCGCTTCTTTCCTTTCTCCTAATGTGACTCAATCCCCGTCGAACGCTTCCAAGCCTTCCTTCCTTTTTGGAAAATCTTTCTCTTTATCCGTCAATACTTCCATTCAATCATCGGCTCCTAAATCCCCGTCAAAACTTGGAAAGTTGAACCTTAAATTACAAAAATCCCCTTCACCTTGTAGGAAAGCCCTACCAATGGTCCCTTCAGAACTCGCTGAAAGGTTGCGCGAATCATCCTCCCGTAGCGCAAAGGTTGAAGATGAATGCCTTCGATACTATTACGATGAGAATGATTGTTCCATTATAAGACCAACCATAACTAGGTCTCCCAAGCCTATCCTGATTGACGTTCGCAACTTACCTCTGTATCAAGATGATCACATTCGTGACTCTTTCAATGTGAATTTACCTACGCTTTTGATCAAACGATATCGTCGTGGAAACATGAGTAACTTCTCCCTGGATTCCTTTATCACGACACCCGAAGGTCGTGATAAGTACTTGGACACGATAAATGAAGACGGTGGTAAATTTCATCACGACGTGATAATTTATGATGAGACAATGGATGAAAAGGACAAGGTCAGTCCGGGGTGGACCTTATTAAGCGTCTTGGAAAGGTCAATGTTGAATTATCACTCCTCTTCGTCATCTGATAGTATTGATGAAAAAATCGAGATTCCGAGAGGAAGGGTATATTGGCTTCGAGGAGGGTTTGAGGCCTTTCGTTCATGGGATCAAAGAGGTGAATTCATCGTAACGGGATCAGATGTTGGATCTTCCGATAATGATGATGGCAATTCAATGGAATTCGATCAAGAGCAGCAACAAGGGACGAATTTGGTTCGTAGGGATTCATTGTTTTCTGTGAATACTGAGCGAAATTCTCTCAGGCGCAAAAAAAGTGGTAGGCAACCAAAGCCGGAACAAATTTCACCACCAAGTTCAGATACCATCGTTGAAACAAATAATATCGAGCCTGCTGAAGTCTCACGAGAACGTCGTCCCTCAAACGGATTACAATATCTATTCACACCATCTAGCGGTAAATTTGGTAAGTTATATTTTGTTTTTTTTTTTTATAAAAAAAAAAAAAAAATGAATTTGCAAGATATTAATTTTTTTTTTTTTAAATACATTTCATCAAAAAAAGGTGAATCTTTATCGCTCTATCCGACTTGTTCATATGGTGTACATGATTACCCTAATGGCAACCAATTTGATCCTGTCTCACCAATCACCCCACCTCCCTTAACGCATCCTGAAGCCGCATTTGTGGTGTCTACTATAATACCTGGATTTTTATATCTCGGTCCTGAAATCACGAAAGAAGAGGAAGTGGATGAGCTCAAAACTAAAGGTGTAAAGAGGATTTTGAATATGGCTTTTGAATGCGATGACTGTTTAAGATTGAAAGAAAAGTTCGATCGTTATCTAAAGTTAAATGTTAAAGATTCGGTTGAGGAGGATGTTGAAAACGGTTTAAACGTTGCCGTTGATTTTATAGGTATGAGTTTATCCAATTTATGTTTTATTGAATAGAAACCTTTTTCGTTGTGATATTTACTAACGATGACTTTCCATTATTTTCATTAAAACAGAGCGTGCTCAAAATGATAACGCACCAATTTATGTTCATTGTAAAGCTGGAAAGTCGCGATCCGTAACAGCGGTTCTGGCTTATTTGATCAAATCACGTAATTGGACATTGAAACATGCATATGATTATGTTATGGATCGCCGAAGCGGGATTTGTCCTAATATTGGATTCGTTGCAGAACTAATGAGAGTCGAGGAAGTTGTACTTGGCATTAAAAGAAACTGTGGTGCGGTCACCGAATTTGATCTTCGACGGAAAGAAGACATGATGGATATGGAAGGCGTTGAGCCATTAGGCAAAGCGCCTAAAACCGCATATTTTTGAAGCGCATTACGTGTTTATTGGTCACGTAAAAAAATATTCCCCATCACACACCGCACACACATATATACATACACAACTTTTTTCGCTAGAGTGAAAATAGTCATTATTAAAAAAAATATTGTAATTTATCAAAAAAATTTTTTATTGAAAAATATCCGGCATTCATGTAAGATGGATTGATTAGACAATAATACTTTAGAGGCTGGATATATTTGTTTATTTATGATTATATCCCTTTTTCACATTGAATTCGATAAAAAAAAAAAAAAAAAAAAAAAAAAAGTATTTAGACACATTTTTGTTGTATTTTACAAAAAAAATTTTATACATATTTCTTTTCTTTTTCTTTTTCTGTAAATAGTTTCTTTTTTTCCAATTTTTTTTTAATAAAAATAATAATAATAATAATAATAATAATTATTAAATATTTTAATTAATAAAATTAATAAAATGTCATCGCGTGACGCAAACCTATGGTTTCGGAATAAATTATGTTCATGTATGACTGAATATTTATTTATTGTAAATGAAAATCCTAAAAATATAACAAAATTTTAAAATAGTAATGACCGAACAATAGAATGTTTATGGATGGTTTGTGTACTAAAGGTTAAATCCATTAGCTAATAAGCTGTTAATTATGTTTATTTATAATTAATTTATTTCAACCCTAAATTTTCAATTAAAAACAAATAATAATAATTAATTATTTATTTTATTTAATTTTATTGATTATTATTGATTATTGATTATTGATTATTTCTATTTCTATAATTCGTTTTGACAATTTCTGATGAACCTTGTTGTATGGTTTCTTAAAAAGTGTAACAGATCTTCATTTCTTTCTTTTTAGAAAATGTAGGGATAACTGTTAAAAAGAAAAGGAAATGTGTCATTATTTTTTGTTATGATAATGTTTACGGTACAAAAAATTTAATGTTCGTTCGACAAGAACCATTACTTACCATATTTCGTTAAAATAAATGGCGATGTCCCCCCTTTTTTTCAACAGGCATAACATTCATCGCACGGTACACCTAGATTTCAAAATACAAAAAAATTGATCGGAATAATTACCAAATTGTAAGTCGTGTAAATGTACCCCTGGTAATTTACATATCAACACAAATTATTTTACGATTTGATGTGGTACATCATAAAGGGGAAAAAAAAAAAAAAAAAAAAAATGAATGATGTATGCTGCAATGCACCTGCGTGGACGGTGATTTCTTTTTAAGATTCCAGAATCAAAAAAGAGGAACCCGAATAATGCCATCCATTTTTGATGGATAGATCAAGTCTAAAATTAGCAAATGCTGGCAAGCTAAAATTTTTTGACATGATATTCGCTCCATTTTAGTTTCTGACTAAAATTTGGTGTCACATGGATAAATGTATATAAATAGATATTATATAATTTATTCACCCCATTTGGATGTCTTTTTACTAAACTAAAAAAAAATTTTTTTTTTTCCAAACGAAAGCTATTTAACGAAAACGACAATGGTTAGTTATAATCGTTTAGGAAATTTATATAATATATATATGGTCTCAATTTCAGAAATTCATTAAACCAATTTCGTTAAATCGGAACAAAAGCCAAGAAATTTTATTTATTAATTCGCCTAATTTTAATCATAATATCAAGTTTAAATTCGATTGTTGAAATCCGGTCTTATTTAACTTTATTAAATCATAATGAATAAAACAAAATTTAGATTGTCAATTGTCATTAAATAAATTTTTGTAAATTTGACTTTTTTAGAGTAACAAAATAAAACAATGGGATGATGAATACGAATTAATCATTATTGGCGCTGGAATCGTAGGAAGTGCTTGCGCAGCAACATTTGGTAAACAAGGAAGAAAGGTCTTACTTATTGGTAAAAATGATTAAATCCTTTGTGTCATAATCACGTAGTGTGGCATGAATCCGACTAATATATACGAAATTATGATATAGAAAGAGATCTAAGTGAACCAGATAGGATAGTCGGAGAATTACTACAGCCGGGCGGAGTGGCCGCACTAACAAAATTAGGTTTATCGGGTAACTATTTTTTAAACAATTATCTCTGTTTTTTCTTTAAAGAACAAATAAAGATGGATATATTTATATTATATTCCTAAGATTGTCTGGAAGGCATTGATGCAATCTCATGTCATGGATATGGAATTTTTTTTAAGGGAGAAAGAGCACATGTAATATATCCAACTTCAAATGGTAAGCCTTCTGTCGGTAAATCATTCCATCATGGTAGATTTATTATGAATTTAAGGAAAGCCGCTGCTGAAACTCCAAAGTAAGCGATATCAACTCGTCATCTTCGGAAAGGGTGGTTGAAAGATGTTTTGTTTTATAACTTTGAAAATCATTGATGATGTAGCGTTAAAATATTTGAGGGAACGGCGAATGAAATGATTAGATGTCCAATGACCGAACGTGTATTTGGTGTTATGTGCACACCTAAAGGACAGTCTGATGTTAACAAGAAGGTAGATCACACGACATGCCCGTCATTAAGAACGTTAATTGGAACTAAAGATTTTAAACCTTTTTTTTTTTTTTTTTTGTTCTGCTTCGTGATAGTTCTTCGCACCACTTACCATTATAGCAGATGGATGTTTTTCTAAATTTCGAAAGGATTTCATTTCAAAACAAGTCGTCGTAAAATCTAATTTTGTAGGATTTGTGATGAAGGATGCCGCGTTACCCTTACCGAATCATGGGCATGTTATATTGGGTAGATCCCCGATTTTAATGTATCAGATTGACACGAGAATGACTCGAGTATTGGTCGATATACCTGGTAAATTGCCAAGTAATGGTGACGGATCTCTCAAAAGACATCTTGAAAGTGAAATCTTACCCATTATACCAAAAAGCGTACAACCATCTTTTAACAATGCCTTACAAAGTGAAAGGTTAAGAAGCATGCCAAATAGTTTCCTTCCCCCTTCTACTAATGTTTACGAAGGTTTGATTTTGCTGGGTGATGCCATGAACATGAGACATCCTTTAACCGGTGGTGGTATGACGGTTGCGTTTAATGATGTTGTAATATTATCTGATCTCCTGTCATTCGTCAATTTGCCGGATTTTAATGATGTTGGGTTAGTCTTGGCTCAAATGCAAGCTTTTCATTGGAAGAGAAAATTTTATTCAAGCTCGGTTATTAACATCCTTGCTCAAGCGTTATATGAATTATTCGCCGGTGATGGGGATGAAAACTTGAGAACGTTGAGAGAAGCCACTTTTAATTATTTGAGGTTGGGTGGTGTTTATTCTTTTGGCCCATGTGGTTTATTAGGAGGGTAGGTGCCTTTAAAAAATTATCTTGACGGAAAAAAAAAAAAATTTCCTCTGGTCTTTAATTCTCAAGTATTCCTCTCTCGCGTTTAGGTTGATCCCGAATCCGTTGGTTTTAATTGGTCATTTCTTTGCGGTTGCCATTTATGGAATTTATAAATTATTCAGCGATGGGAGGTTGATAGAATTCCCTCAAAATATTTCGAAAAGTTTTTTTGTATTTTATACCGCTTGTTTGGTTATATTACCCTATATATGGTCCGAGGTTTTGTTCTAAAGGTTATAGCACGGACGGATATATTAATCCCGATCTTTATAATTTTTAATTTAATATGTGAACTTTTCAAACGATTTACATGAAAAATGGATTTCTCAAAATAACTTTTCTTTTTAAAGAAATAATAATTAAATAAATAAATAAACAAAAAAAGTAATCCTAAATTAAAAAATGTCATTGAAATATCGGAAATGAGATCTCCGGACAAAATCCACAAAAATAAGAATTCTTTTTTTAAGAAACATTGTGTTAAAAAAAAAACCTTTCAAGTTAAAAATGGAAAGTAATAGATGAAATTGGGCTTCCGTTTTTGAAATTCATTGACTTCCCATTTTTAGAATTTAAAATACTTAAGCAGCTGATTGTAACTGATTAGCTCATGAGCTTTATAAATTGTTTCAGGTGAATCATAACGACAATGCTAGGCAGTCATTAGTTATAATACCCTTTGAGCAATTTTTATGGCAAGAATAAAAAAATTCACTTCTACCTCGAAACGATGCGATGATAACATATTCTCTTTCATACTTGTATGGCGTGTTGATATTGCGTAATTTGGGTTAGAATTAAGGGTTGATATTTTAGATATTTTACCAAATCATACTAGCATACTTGTACGGTCGCCTTTTTCGAATAGTTTTATAATCAAAGCGTTGGGTAACGTGATGTAAAGCACTATCATCCTGCATAAAATAAAATGTATGAAAATCCATTAAAGTACTGAATTTTTTCTAAGCCCTTTAAAGTTGCAAGGCGATATGTTATGTAAGACTTTTATTATTTTTTTTTTTTTTAAGGGTGTCAAGAGTTAAACTTGAATTTATATTTATATATTGACAGTATTTATTTAATTTCATCAAAATACTTATGACGAGAAGTTTAGAAGTTTTTTAATAATAAAAAGGTTATTTCATTATTAAAGTGCTGTCCGAAACTCTTTCCGAAATTCAATTCCGAAACCCGACGATAAATTTTTCAATTTTGCTGTTTGTTTATTCTTAACTAAATTTATTAAGAAAAATTATAATAATAATTTCTTTTCAAAATTATTTTTGTTTAAGTTTCTCTCCAATTTCTTTTCTTCAAGTTTTAAATTATTTAATAATACAAATACTTTTATCAAATAAATCATTATCATTGATCTTATTAATAAATAAAAACGTAAAATATTGAAATGATTCTTGTAAATTTGTATATGATTATTTGACATTTTCAATTACAATTTATAATATTATTCATTATTCATCAATAACTTCTGTTCCTTCTATTCTGAAGAAGTTTTTGATACTAAAAAAAATATTTCTAAAGTAGTTTATTTCATTAAATTATTCTTTTTTTCTCTAATAAATCTTTTAAAAATACTAATCATTATAATATTTTATCTCTTACATTAAACTATTATATTCTAGGTATTATAGTCTACTTAATTATTAAAGTTATTAGGTAAAGCTTGAAGGTTTTAACAGGTATCAAAATTAAAATCCAATCTGTTTAAATTCCATTATCAAAACTTGTCAAATCTATTGAAATCTATCAAAATTAAAAGGTTTTAAATTTTGTCAAATGAAATTTAGACTTTACTTTGCAACCTTTTTTGCCTTGCAACCTTATTAAATATTTTATAATTTAATAAATATAATGTCTTAGATATTATAAATATATAATTAATCTAATAAAATATATTGTTATAAAAGTTATAGATCACTTGAATATATTAATAATCTAATAATTATAATGTTTAATCCAATAGACTATTATGTTCAATCTAACATTAAAAAAGTTACAAATATTACCATCAATAATAAAATGAGGATTTTGCCTCTTCTGGTTTTGATCTTTCTTATGGTATTCCTAACAGCAACAATAACCCTAATTCTATTAACACTATAGTGCAACTTAGATCCCATTAGACGAATTTTTAGTGTAGTAGTAACTAAACTCTCTTCTGCTCTTTTCATTTTATTTTCTTGAAAATGATAGTTTTAGCTTAGATTAGAATTGATTTGGAGGAGTGCAGAATCAGTCTTCTTTTAGATTAGTTTTTCTTTTTTATTATAAGATTTTCATTTTTTCTTCTTGATTTGTATTTTATTTTATACCATACTTTTATCATAATAAAGATTATATAAAACTACCACACTTTAAAAAAAAAATGTATTATTATTTTAACTTTTTGTTTTAATACAAACCAGAATTTCAATCATAAAGAATTCTTTTTGTATTATTCAATTATGAGTTTTGCTTATTATATTTGGATTGATCTAATTTTTATAAATAATATGATGCATAATTATAATATGATATTTAAATTATTATTTTAACTTTTTGTTTTTAATATAAATCAGAATTTTAATCAAGACTGTATTATTTTAATCATAAGTAAAGAATTTTACAAGATATTAAATCAAATGGATAAATTTATTTATAAAGGGAAGTATTTTTTACCATCGTATAATTTTTCACCTTTTGAAATTTAAATCAATCTTTAAATCACTTTAATTTACTTCTTTAAATAATATTTTTTTCATAAACACAAAAATAATTATAAGAATAATTTAGGAGAATAATGAAATTGATTTATTAATTGATAAAAGGAAAAGGAAAAACAAAGAGTATCATGTACAGTAGTGGCAAAAAAAATAACAGTCGCAATCATGTGATTAAAATAATAATTTATATTATATCTTATTAGATAACACAAACTAATTTTTTGTTTGATTATTTACTATATTACACTGATCAACATGCATAAAAAACTAAACACAAGAGTGCCTCATAACGGATATAATGTAATAATGCCACAAAAAATTTCTATTAAAAAATGACATGAGATAGTTAAGTTATTGTAGAATAATAAAATATAAAATGTAAATGAACTACACAAAATTACTAAGTTCCCACTAAGAACACTATATCAGTGATTATCTCAGTTAAAAAACTAAAAATTTAAAATAACAATGTCGTCTAGGATACCTAAAGATTTTAAATCTAAAAAGTGATATCACCTTGGTCAGCTTACTCATTCGCATGCTAGTGTAATAAGTTTTGAAATTGCAGACACTCTTAATAATACTTACCTAGGTCTTAATATAGTCACTTGCATAGTCTATGAGAATCTTTAGAAGTTTGGTTACTGAGTTTGTGTTCCTAAAATAATCCTATTCCTCAATTCAATTGCAAAAGAGAGACGAGTTTTTTGGGCAGAAGTTCATAAAAATAAAAATTAGAAAAATATGGTTTTTTCTGATGAAACGATCTTTCAAATATTCTGTAATACTACCTTAATTTATTATAAAAAAGGTGAAGAAAAACCAATTTGTGAAGTTGTTAAACACTCATTCAAAGTTCATATTTAGAGAACTTTTTATTTGTAAGAAATTATTGGGTTTTACATGTTTACTAAAAATATGAATAAGAAGTTATACTGTGAAATTTTAACAAATAATCTTTTTGATCAAGCATATCAGCTTTTTAGAAGGTCTTAAACATTTTAACAGAATAATGATCTAAAGTACAAAGCTAAGCTTATAGTATCTCTTCTCAAAAATTAATGTCCTGCAGTTCTCAATTGGTCATCATATTCCCTAAATCTGAATCTAATAGAAAATTTGTAGGCGATTATCAAGAAAAGGGTGAAAAAGAAGATCAATAAATGAATTAGTAAAAAGAAACTGATTATGTAAAGGATTTTTATAGAAATTATTAAAGGCAAATGGTTCAATATTGATCAAAACTTCTACCTTAATTTAGTAATAGTATGAAAAGAAGAGTAAATTTGGTAATTGAAAGGAATGGTAATGTAATTCAATATTAAAATTTTAATATATAATAAATGTGGTATTAGTTTATTTATATTTAAGTTTCAAATAATTTTAATAAATATTGATCAAGTAAATGAATTTTCATTTACTACCAGTTTTTTCTATTACTACTGTAAGATACAGAAACAATAAGATAGGGTTTTAGAAGAGTGTAGCTTGCCAAATCAATCAAAGATACAATATAACATATTTAACTCACCAATGCAAGTTTAAATAGAGGAATTTAGTATTAGATTATAATGTAAGTAAATAAATAAATAACAATATAATGATAAATATAACTTAATAATATAATTAATATCTTTTAGAACTTTTGCGATTATCAAAATGAAGTAAAAAGAGATGGAAAAAAGACCTATACTATGGAAAGAATTCATGCTGTTTATTGTATCAGAATGCAGAAAAGAATATTTTGCATAAAATGAAATTAAAATTAATACAAGAGTTACAAAGAAACATAAGATTAATAATTAAATAATGAATAAAGTTGGTCATTTTAATCCTTTAAAGTTGTATTTATTAAAATATATAAATTGAAGTTGATATTAGGGACACAGTAAATACAGCAAATCCTATAATTAAAAATAAAATATAAAATATTTCTAAACTTCTTCGCAAATATAAGTGACAAAAAACTCTGTGTCAAAATTCCCAAAGTTTCCTATAATATAAATCTTGAATATTTAAAATTACAGGATCTATTTCTTACAAAATAAAAAAAAGAAACGTTTATAATTCTATTTCTTAAAAATTCCTAAAGCTTATATACTAACCTTCAATATTTAAAATTGTAGAACCTGTTTTTTATAAAATAAAAAGAAACATTACTTCCATTTCTTAAAAGAAATTCCTAAAGGTCTCTTATAATATAAATCTTGAATATTTAAGTCATAGAATCCGTTTTCTACAAA